CTCAATCAAAGTTATGCAGGGTGCGATGCCGTAATCAAACCATGACGCATCGAGGAGCATATTTACTAAACAGAGCATTATACCGTCTAGAGCAGTCTTTTTCTTTAAAAAGTATACCAATAGTTATGTGAGCTTGTTTCGTTACATATGATGCTTGCTTCCATATCTTTAAATGTGAAGCATTCGCTTTAACATGCTAACCCGTCGGACATAACCACGCGAGCATCCGAGGGGCTTTGGCCGGGCTTTGGTCCGGACGTGATGGACTCATGCGAGAAAACATTTTTAAGAAGCGAAATGATGCATTCTTGCCAGTACTTTGATTCCGAAACTTCCAAAAAAACCGGGGTTCACCGTCACACACCATACAATCATGGAGATCTCTTCTTTTGTTCTTGCAGGGCCATGAGTCGCAGATATCCTATGGCGGACAGGGCATGCTTGTTAACTAGGTCGTACAAAATGAGCGTATTTATGCGAACCTCTCACTAGGAATGTCACACATTACCACCCACCTTATCGAGACTTGGCCTGCTTCATTGCGCATTAGTCCGGTGGGGCATTTATACCAGCACAGTGGCATGCTGGGTTTGGCTGTTACTGTGAGGGCGAGGTGCACTTCAATTTCTCTGTCAAAAACGAACAGTACCTCGGAATCAAAATCACTGATAACCGACATAGCGGATGAAAAGTTGGACTTTCATTGCCCAAGCCTCACTCACTGATGGATGCAGTTCACGTGTCTTGGTAAATGACATGCGCAACATTTGTTGAAGTCTTAATAGTGGGAATGCAGCGTTGGGATATTTATACCTACGTTTTCATACACATAAGAACATGCAGCTTAGGATCGTAAGTACAGGGCCTCCTACGTACGATGCCTTTTAACGCGATTGTGAATATAGTATATTTTCAACTTAGTCTCATCCCTACTCTTGGTTCTGTTTGCTCTCCCATCTCTACCGATCCCGAGCCGGTCATCTGTGCACAGGTCTGGCTCAAACATTCCCGTTCAATATGTGACATCATTGAATAATTCTGCGTAGTTTCGAAAGGTCTAGTCTATTTGTATCGGCTATGCTGATGGCTTTGCAAGCGTCGATGTAGCAAGCTGATTGTTTATGGACCCCGGTATACGGAATGTGAGCGTGATGTCTCTGGGAAGTAAGACCGTTATTAACCAACGAGGCACTCGACATGTGAAGTAACTGCACGGCTTCATTAAAATTTAGAGCTGAGGCCCTGCATCCTGGCCCGCGCTTAGCCGAACCATAATCAATTAAAATATAGACCGATCACATAGAACCGAACCGATCCTACCTCACTGTTGACTGAGCGCAGGCGATGACTGTAGGGTAAGCGATGGCTGGCAGCGCGGCGTCCCGCCGTGCCTCGCCGGGAGGCGGAGCCCCCTCCCCCCCCTCCCCCTACCCCCGGGCGATCGGCGCCCGCCCGCCTGGCGGGGGAGACGCCCGGCCTCGGGCGCCCGGCCCACCGGCGGCAGTAGATCATGCGCGTCTGTGACTGGCGCCGCCATGTTCGGGACACATGTGGGCCGCGGGCGGGCTTGGCCATCCATCACGGCGGCCGTGGGGCGACACGGCTCCCTCCCTCGCCGGGCGACACCCCTCGGCGGCGGGACGGGCGCCGGCGTCACGGCCGGCGCCGCCGCCGGCAGGCGCCGACAGCGCGGCACGAGGTGGCTTCGAACAGAAAGCTCATCCTTTCCACGCAACATCCGTAGGCGCTCTGTTAAATACCAGGAACATCGCAAGGGGCCAGAGACTTGCCAATTATGTGGAGAGTTCAACCGATGCTGCACAGCACACACGGATAGTAAGGTAGACAGCACGCCCCTAATGCGTCGCACAACACACGCATACACGGGCACCAACGCAAGCGGGTTATCGACGCCGCACAGGCCGGGGGTCGCATCGGCGGGCAGCACGGTCCTTTGTACACGCAGACAGGGCAGATACTGGGATACAGAACAGCTGCAGGCCTGTCAGCCTGCTGCTCTGCACATTCCTGCGGATCTTTCTTTCTCTCTCTCCCTCTCTCTCTCCCTCTCTCTCTCTCTCTCTCTCTCTCTCTCTCTCTCTCTCTCCTCTCTCTCTCTCTCTCTCTCTCTCTCTCTCTCTCTCTCTCTCTCTCTCTCTCTCTCTCTCTCTCTCTCTCTCCCCTCCGTTCATTCATCCCCTCTTTCTCCTTTCCTGCATTTTATATCCATAACATTTTCATCGATGACAGTTGCTACAATGTCTGCATCCCAACCTTCCGCAGACGTGCATTAATCTTAACATGCCTTCAGCATTTATGATAACAGCTTGAACTCCAACAACGGATAGCTGGTTTTGTGTTTGCCGTTTTGGCAGGGTACTTGAACAAGGCATTGTCAAAAACGTGCCCCTGAGATTCCGGATTTACCTCGAAGATAATACGCATTTTCAGACTTTGCTTGATATCCGGTATATTCATAGCTATTTTCCACAAGAATAGAAAACCGACCTACCGACTAATACCGTGCACCTTGCCGTTCTAGTTCGATTTGCTTGTTTTTTTCTTTCTCGTATAGGTTTCTTCGGAAGATTCAGAAAAATTAAATGAGCAATAACCCGACACTTCAGAGGTTATTGGCAACGGCAACGCAATCTGGAATTCAATCACTTTTTGGAGGATAGACTGCGAACCTTAGTTCAGTTTTGAGTTTCATCCCACCGCATGTCTACTTGTTTGTCGGTGAGGTTTTCCAATTCCGCCAAAGCCGGTTTCAATCTGCCCAAGTTCAAAGTTCCAGATTTTGATTGGTGCGTAGCAGTTCTGCTCGATGAAAAATTGCAGTTTAGAAGGCCCACCCAAGAGAGCGTACCGCAATCGGAGCGAATGAAAGGCCGGGGCTCAAGTGGTTTAAAGCTCCGAGAGATTAAAGTCCGAAGAAAATGGCGCGGGCATTCGACGAGTCCGCGCTTGTTCAAGTGATCGATGTCTTCGCTGGCATGCCGGAATCTGAATAATGTCTCGTCGGGTAATGTAACGACTGGGTAATGCCGCCGTCTCATTGAGCTCACAGCTCGATGAGGCAGAGCTGGAGCTCCGGAGCTGAGCTCGAAAAACTGAGTTCTTCACTAAGTTCGCGTGTTAATTGAATGTCTGCGTATGGTGTTGCTCTAACTTTAGGGACAGTGATACGCTACTAAATGTTTTCAGCGAGATGATATCGCGCTTCTGGTAAGCATCGAAAATCGGAATTACTAGTGAAATCAACCTCTAACGTTTACAACCGATGCAGTAAGTTAAGACGGTATAATCGACAGCTAGCTATCGATAGAAGATATCGACTGAGCCAGGTGAAAATGCTGTGGAGCTAAGTAGTGAAGGATGTTGGTAGGAGCTCACGATTGGCCTGTATGACGCCTACCTGCGGAATGAAACGTTCTGGACAAGCTGCCACAGTTTAATTGCCTATATATATAAATATAAATATATATATATATATATATATATATATATATGCATATATACATATACGCATACGTATATGTATATACGCATATACATATGTGCATCTTACTTTGCTCAGATACTGCTGTTCCAACATCAGAGGCATCTAATTGTAGCCGAAGTAATTAGTGTTGTACGCTCCATCCTCCTCGCAAAACGCTAACGCGCCGTGCCGTTGAGGGTACGTCCTCGATATGAGCCTGTTTACGGCCGGACATATTCCTCCGTCTCCTCCAGGCCAGACCGGCCAGACCTGTCGCACGTCTTGGTGCTGACCTCCTACCAACACCTCGAGGTGTCCCCATGGCAAGAAGGCTGGCCGGACAGGAGGAAGGGAGCGGGCTGCCCAGGCGCGAACGGTCTCAAGGCAGATGACGCCTCCACCACACCGTTGTCTGGACTTCAGCGGGGTCCCATAGGCCGTGGGGGGGGGGGGGGACAGCACCGTCCTGCTGGGACTATCACTGGAGAAGTCAGCGCAATACCTTCCGCTGAAACTGAATCCCGAGTCCTTTTGCGAGACATTCCAGTGCCTCTCAAAGTTGAAGGGATTGTTGCGCGCGGCCTCGTACCGCGGTGGTCCGATTTCTCCGGACGGCTAGTGGCGCATAGAGCTGTGAGCTTCGCACGCTGTGGCAGCCTCTCCTGAACCCGATCAACGAGTCCGGTCGGTTGCGTTGGCCACTGACGCGATCATCCAGGTGATAGCAAGCTCCGTCCGAGAACTAGATTTTCTCCAGAATGTTTGTATTGGTGTTGCTTAATAAGCGAAGGGCAGGAGTTCGTCCGACGTTCCACGCCTGCAGCTGAGCGACTGAGCTTGATTCGCCTTTTGTTGGGACGCACTGTGACTTCTCGGTTCAGGCTCCGGCTGGCAGCGCTGATACCGAAGTCGATCTCTTGTGGGAGGCGATGGCGTGACTTCAGAGTTTTGCCTGATGAACGGGGGGGAGGGGGGGGACGGGCTTTTCGATCACTTTGGAGATTGTGATGGTTATTGTTCGGCCTGAATGCGTCTGGAGGTTGGTAACAGATTGCTCACGACTGATCTCTTTAATCTGCAATATCGTGTGCCTTGAGAGGATCGGCTATTTTCAAGTTGCGTTTGAGATACCCCGGGTAGAATGAAGATTTTTACGATGTAAAATTTCAAGATTTTGCTTTTGGGGTTGTTGTACAGTCTCATGGCAAAGGAACTGAACTACTTTGGAAGATAAAAAGTCTTACGCTTACGCACTGTCATTTCGTGCGCAAATCTAAACCTTTATGGTGTACTTTGGCTAATGGAGAAGGATCAAATGTAACCACTTATAAAGAACATCTCTGTATATTTTTCAGATAACATTGGCCGCGGCGATCGATCAGCTCACATCACCTTTCCAGTGTGACGTAGATGACCTGGATAGTGTGAGTCTGAGCGCGCGTTTTGCAGGTGTTTTCGTTCCTTTTCCGGCCACACTGTGCTGCTCCTACCGCTAAGACCGTGCGTTTCTTTTCAGACAGCCTACCGATGACACAGCGAAACCTGCCCGCCTCGTTCTGGAACAGCGGCTACCACAGTCGGGCAACAGTGACGTCAGTGGGGCACAGCGGCGCCGGACATGAGCTGTACACGGACCCCTACCACTCATCATCGCTCCACGGGCTGCATCAGTCAGGTGAGATATCGGAGAGCCGACCGAATGCGACTTCTCTCTTAGAATTGTACTCAAATTCGCGATTTTGATATGAACTTTCCTAGGTCATGTTGATTACATGATCACTCTGCGGCATCACTTTTATTTAGGATGCGTTCAAGGGTATAACATTAAAAAGGGGCCAACTTTGTTTCGGTTGTAGCAGCCGATTTTTAAGTCCGCAATTAAACTCGAGTCACGAAAATTCACTGTTATCGCCATTTTTCATCTCCTTTCCGGCGTCTGCAGCGCGACAACCGAGCTCAGAGAAGTTCTGCCCCTGGCGTCTGGACGCTATGCCATCTATCCTCTTCGTGCAGAGAGAGCCCCGTCGTGCCCTCCGTGCAGGGAGAGCCCCGCTGTGCCCTGCGTGCAGAGCCTCGTCGCCCCTGCGTGCCCGGCGGGCGCGCGCCGTCGCCGCACGCGAGAGCGGCGCCCCCGCCGACGGAGCCGCCGCTGACACCGCCCGTCCGTCCACAGACCCGTGGCACTACGCGCTGGCCTCGCAGGCGTACCCGGGCCGCGAGCTGAGCGGCTACGGAGGCGCCACGGCCGGCGTGGCCGCGGCGCGCTTCAACGGCTACGGGCCGCTGCTGTTCCCGCCGCCGGCGCGGCTGCCGGCCGGCCAGGCGACCAAGGGCGACTGGGCGCCGCGGGGCTACCCGGACGTGTCGCCCGAGCTGGGCGCGCACTCGCACCCGCACCCGCACCCGCACCCGCACCCGCTCGACCCCGGCTTCGGCGCCGGCGCGGTCGGCTACGGCAACGTCGTTAGCGGTGAGAGGCGTGTGGATTGAGATGCAGAGGAGTCAGATGTGAGCGTTCTCGGCTGAGATTCTTCTGCCGGAGCATGCCGTCGTACCAGCCGTCTAAATCTCAAGTAGAAAACGATAAGACAGAGTATTAGTCTTATTCCCCGGAGAAAACCAAGAGAATGGTGATAAGGCTGCGTTGATATTTCAGCAGCGTACCTTTATCAAAATTATGGCAAAAGTGAATTCAAAACTGCCTGATTTTCGGCAATGGCCAGGCAATTTTGAATTCACTTCTGCTATTGCTTCGATAAAGGCATATTGCCGAAATACCAACCCAACTATATCTCCATAACGGAATAAGGCTAATGCTTCTATCTTATCTATCTGAATAATGTTCCTTGCTTACGCACTGAACAAAATAAAAAACGACTCTGATGCTTTTTGATCATAGTCCTTTTAGTTTGCCTTATACCGTTCATTGTATTGGACTTTTAATTTTATTTACGTAACATTAATATAGCTTCACCATGAAGTCGTCCCAGCACCAACACGCTTCGCCAGTCACTTGCGTATACGCTTCAATCCTTCGGCGCATCTGACACCGTGCGTCATCGCCTACAGGTCTCGAGTCATCACTTCACGCCGCTGCCAGCGGGAAGGACTCCTACTGGCTGTAGCCGGCGCCGCAGCTGACGACAGGAGCAGCTCGCTGATCCTGCCGCCGTGTACAACAGTCCCGGAGCGAACAGTTCTGGGTCCTCTTAGCACGCAATCAAATCAAAAGGGTCCCGATTTCGGGCGGGCAGTTGCTGTCGGTCCGGGTCGGGACCGGGACCAGGGCGATCTGTTTGTGGCGTGTCGGTCATCTGCGTGTGCTGGAGACGTTGTTGATTTTGTATGTGTGCTCTTGGTGGCCTCAAGTGCCTTGGTATTATATATCATGGGGATACGATGAACGATGGCGCTTCGTTTTTCCGTATGCATGGATTTATTTGTTCACGTGCGTGGTTTGCTATTTCTGTACATGTTCAACGTTCTGAATGGCATTATCATCGTCTCCTTTGCTTCACATTTGCTCTTTCCGACTTTCTCCCGTGTTTATCTTTTTAGGTCCTACCTCGCTCCTTCCTTCCCAAGCCTGGGCTCTGTACTCATCTTTGGCTTGGGCACGCGTTCCGCAAGCTCGCGACAGTGCTCTCCACGTGACCGGCCATTTTCTGGTGTTCGCAATCTCACAGGTCCGAATAAAATCTTCGAATGTCCCAGCTGCACACATCGGTACGCATTGCTATGTCCATCAGAGTCAGGTGTGCGGGACAGTGCTTGGAAGTATGCAACCAGTGTGGCTGACTGCAGCACCGTAGCACGGCATTGACCGGGCAACACCGACAGAGCGTCCTCCTTGTATGTATCCGTTATTTAATATTTATTATTTGCGATAGATGGAGTATCGGCTTTCGCCATCTGTTTTCACATCATGACCATTTTCAAACATGTGACCACGTAGCTAGAATAAGAAGCAGTAAACGTGTGTGGCCTGTGTTTGTTTGTTTTTCTGTGTCCGGGTACGGCGATCTGAGGAGGCAGTAGCGACGACGGAACGATGAGTTAGCAGCAATCTCCAGGCAAATCTCCAGCAGGCGATCTCCGACAGAGAACTAGCAAAGTCGCAAGCGGCTGGATGTGACCTAGGCGCTTCTAACCCTCTGTGTATGCTCTGCAAGGTGATAGGCTTATAGAAGATGATAGCGGGCACAGAATCTCAAACGGAACGGCCAAGGGCCTACGAGACGTGTTTTCGTTTCGCTTCTTGGATTCCAAGTAGCCGAGAATTTCCAGAGGACGGCCCTTCGCGGTCCAAGGAAACGGCACATTTGCGTCCAAGAACATGGCAAGAATGCATTGTTCAGAATGCTCGCCTACAATGAAGCAGCCATGCACAATTTGCGTCTCGTGCCAAGGCTGCTGGCATCAGGACTTCTAGCCGCAAGACGGTTGACGGTTCGTGACGAAATGAACACGGACCATGAGAAATCCTTGGATGCTGGTCAACAATGATGATGACAAGCATGACAAGTAAATGACAAAAACAGTAATTCTATCAATCCATTTAACGATGTCGAAACTTGAATTTCCGCGGTTAAAATACATTTTGCAAATCCAACAAGTTGTACTTCAATATTTTACTTTAGCCTGACAGCGAATACACTCTTAACCATACCCCAGACGTCATGCGTGGTTCGTCGCTACCCATGCTGTCACATGACCTTGCACAGGCCCAGATGCCCGGTGGCGCCGCTCGGCTGCGCCACTGCATGCCCGGCGCCACCGACTTGAAAGGCGACAGCGCCCGACCGCGCGTCCCGGCGTATTCCTCTTCTATTTCGGGCCCTCAATTCTTTACGACCACAACTGGACGCTCTGTAAGTTACAAACCGAGTGTGAAAGAGAGCCGCCGCGCCGCTTGGCCGGACCGTTGGGCGCAACGCGAGCCTCACGGAGGCACGGAGGCGGCCCGCGGCCGGCCGGCCCCATCTGAAGCTTCCTGATGCCGAACACGATAACCAAACGGCCGGAAAACGCCGGCCGCCGCCGGCCGTGCTCCCAAATAGACGGCTCGCCCGGCGACGTGGGAAACGGCCGAATCGGGCCGGTTCTCACACACAAGAATTGTACGCATTCTGGGCAGGTAGATGGGAATTCTGGTACGTGAGATGGCGGCCGGCGAACGGGCGGCTCGTCTGCCCGGCCGCCGGCCGTGGGAAAGGCGACCAGGCATCGCCGCAATGTCGCCGGCGGCCGCCCACAAAACAGCGAGGCCGAGCGCTCTGCAATGCTGCCCGGCCGGACGGCGGGTCATGGCAGCGGCCGAGGGCGCCGTTCGCCGTCAACGGCGGGCTATGGCGGCAGCGTGCGAGGGCACCGTTGGCCATCAACGGTGGGCTATAGCACCGTCCGAGGGCACCGTTGGCCATCAACGGTGGGCTATGGCAGCGCCCGAGGGCACCGTTCGCCGTCAACGTCGCGCTATGGCAGCGTCCGAGGGCACCGTTGGCCATCAACGGTGGGCTATAGCACCGTCCGAGGGCACCGTTGGCCATCAACGGTGGGCTATGGCAGCGCCCGAGGGCACCGTTCGCCGTCAACGTCGCGCTATGGCAGTGTCCGAGGGCACCGTTCGCCGTCAACGTCGGGCTATGGCAGCGTCCGAGGGCACCGTTCGCCGCCAAGGGCGGGTCGTGGCAGCGTCCGAGGGCCCCAGCGTCGTGGCTCGTCGTCAACGGCGGGCCATGGCAGCATCCAAGCGAAAAAGTCGGATCATTTTCAAATCCTTTTCGCGAGAACGGTTTAAGGCTTTCAAGTTTTTTAACGGTCTTATTCTTCGTGCAACGCCCCTTCCGCCGTTTCAGTAGCGTGCGTTGGATTTTTCCCGTAAAAAGCTGTTTCAGCGATCAGCGATGGACTTTGAGGCACCTGACTTCAAAGGCGCAGACTAGCAACGCACTCACCAGGACAAACGCGTCGTTGTATGTTACTCTAGCCGCCGAAGAGAGGTTTTGAATATTTCAAAGGACGCTTTTGATTTCTCACTAGACAATTAACTACACCAGCCTTTTGTGATAGTTGATCGTCAGCGTACAATGAAGTGAATGCTATGACCAACAGGTAATTTTGGGGATCAAAAAAAAAATTGCCTCACGAACCAGTTACTGCTTTGAACTCAGTAAACGTCACATGGTTGCTAAAAACCACCAGGAAACTCGCGTCTTGTCAAGCGCCCGATCAAGCCTCTCTGCTTGAACAGACAGTCTATCTCCGCGACGCGGACCAACATGTGCATCTCACGCGTGAATCGAATGGAATGCACTCTTCGCGGCTGATGATTAGCCCGAGTGGCCACGTGCGCCTAATAGGCCCTCGCCCAGTATGCCGCTCGCGCCGCCTGCGCCGCCGCGGCATTCGCAACGCTCTGGACAGCCTGGGGCCGCGCCTGGCACCGCCGCTGGCGCGTAATAATCGTCTCACAGCCGGCAGCTCCTAGGCGTTCGGGTGCATTTTGTGAATAGCTGAGCGGTGTGTGTTCGCGGCGTGGGCGCGCTGCTGTCGGCGGCGGGCCATGCGCCCAACAGCAGCACGGCCGGCCGCCTGGCTGGGTGCTCAATCAGGCCGGGAAAGAACGCACGGCTGCCTGAGATGTCATCGAAATCGGCCGAAAACGCAGAATTTAGCCCATGTTGGTGTAGATCCCCACGGAAGGAGAGCCTCCTTCAAGCACCTGATAACGGCTCGCACGGTGACAAATGTCCAGTCAGCTAGGCTTGTGAACGTGGCGTTCCTCCCGGAGGCAACCCGGTGCAGGGGTTTGACTACGCGTCGCAGTGTTGACCCATGAGCAGCGGTGGAGGTAGCGGTTGATTTACCATACTTTTAAGGCGGTGACATTTGAAAGGACAGGGCCTCATCTGAGACATCATAAATTAGCCCTGTTTCGAACAATAAGCTGATTTGTTATGATACAATGGGGACTGTCGGAGACAAATGTCTTGTGCCGTTTTTCTTAGATATTCACTGATGTTTTGGTCGGTTGCATCGAACTTAAAACTTAATCACAGCAGAGGCAGCTGCGAATTCTGGAGGATTTTTCCAAATCGAGTAGCGAATGAGTGCTTTCTTCTCATCCCGTTCTCAATTTCCGTCTCGCTTTGGAACGAGGCCGTAGCGGGGTCGGATCTGAGCTTTGGCTGCTGCCGGGACCAGTACGGCCTGGCCTGCCTGGCCTGGATTCGTCAGATTACACTGAGGTCAAACGGCAAATGAAAGGGAATCTCGTTCGACGTCAAGCCGTGAATCACTATGACTTCGATCCAGTTCAGTTCGAAGGTGGCATTACGGGATTCGGAGGAAGCTTTCATGAGTTGTCCGATTTCAGCAACGTGTTTGTAAAAATCGACGCCGGCTCGGCTGGGGGTACACTTTTTAATTGAGTGCAGTTTATCGAAACTTCCTAAGTACAATGTGGCGAAGCTTCCGTGGGAATGTCTTTAGGACCACAGCACTTGCAAAACCTGGCTTGTACAAAGACCATGGACATAACAGTCCCCCAAAAATGTGGCACGATTGTTGCTGCTGCAAGCTACTGGACAATGCTTTTATGCCAATATTATTCGTTTATAAAACGCACTGCAGTGTGGTTTTGCACCGTGTGCCCAATAAGGAGAGTAAGTCCGAAAAGCAGCGGTAGTTGTCTGCACGCGTTAAAGGGCGTTGAAGAGTGTAAAAGGGCGCATGCCACCCTTTTGCACTTTTCACTTGTTCGGCTGGCTGCGTCCGATTTTGTTGGTAACGCCAGTTTTCTCAAAATCCTTCTGAAGAGCTCAGCATTTTGAGTTGGAGTAGCCGCTGGGACGATAGAAATGTTGTTGTTCCAGTTAAATATAGTCAATTAAGCATTCCGTATAGATCGAAAGTAGCAATTAGCAGGTGGAGATCCTATGAAATATGGATATAGGTCCCGGACATTCTTTTCCCAGCCTTTTTTCGTAGAAATTGTGCTGCAGCGTTTCACAATATTCCATGCATTTTGTGGCACTGTTAAATGTCAATGATGTCGCTCGAGTCGCAGAGATTCTTGAACGCAATGCTATTGCCATTCTTACGTGTAGCCAGTATCACACAAAGGGCGCGACGATTGCCGTAAGATTGAAAGCAGATGGTTGTGAGAGGGAATGTTGATCATTTCAAAGCCGTCATCAAGTGTCTATTTTCTATTGCTGCTTGATGTCTTCCACTATGGACGGAAAATACCGAATATGAGCCTGCGTTTGGTTCTTGAATGCAGGTTATGATGTTGCAGCCATTGCGACGCATTCAAATGGCGTCTGTATCCATGCGCAGTGTAGTGATCTGAGGAGACTTCCATGAGCTGAAACGTCCAGCACTTTTACTCCAATGCAAAACCTCCATTTGATACATGTAATTTTAGAAGACATGGGCTGTGGGTTGCTGAGATGAGAGACAACGGTGAAATCTCGGATACATGTTAACGACACGCCATTTTAAATTCCACACTCACCTTTTCATTTGTGGTTAGAACTGGCATCACCTTGCTTAAAATCTATTTTGATGCACTCCAAACTCCATAGCGCTCCTTGAAAAGCCGACATTTTCCTAGCGCCAAAAGAGTCAGAGGTGCTCCAAACACTTCCTGATTCTGGGCTTCCCACGCATCCTTGTGGTGTACCTGAAGCGGTTCTCGCTGCAGCTGGATCAGAACAGAAAAGATCTAGTACCGCTGTGGACTTCTCCGCCGGTCGTCTGGACATGTCGCCACACTCTACTGCACTGGGGACAGCATGCACAGCCTTTACAGCGTGTCAAACCATTCTGGCGTGGCGCACTCGGGCCTCTACACCGCCCATTGTAAATATATATTTGTGGAAGTCTGGTACGAGCATGACTCCAGAGCCCAGCCCATGCGTATGCGCCGCGCCAACAGCTACGGAGCATGCCTGATGTTGTCCGAGCTGGTCGGTCGCTGAGCT